ATGCTGATCCATTGTCAACAACTAAAAACTAAACTCAAAAATGTAGAAATAGAAAAGGTTAGAGTAGAAGAACAGTAGAAGTGATTGATAATTGTTGACTTTTGTCGTTCCAAACTCTGCAAAACTGCAAATGGATATAATGGGAGGGGGTAATCACTTTAACAAGGAAGGCATAAGCTGTAGTTGAACGCAGTCTAGGTGTGCTGGTGAAGTAGGGATTCATGCGTACCAACAAATGATACAAAATATAATCAATTTGAAAGATATAACTTGTATATGGTTCTTGGTATATTTATTGGATACTGATGTAAACCTCTTATTAGGAATTTTAACTGGATTTGCATGTTACCTATTGCAGGTTAAAATAAGTATGTTCATTTGCAAAGAAATTATACCGTTTGATCAGAAATACCCGTCAAAGCACAGGTTCAGAAAATTATTAATAAAATTTATAAATAATATTTTGAAGCCGCGTCGGTGCGCAATTCATCCTTTCACAAATACATAAACAATTTTGGCTTCTCAACAGTAGAAATGCTATACGCAGTTTTTTAAAGAAACTGTTTAACATGTTTTCGCGTCAAACCTTCTACCGTCACGCAAATAATGAGAGACTTACCCGAGTACCGATTGATATCTACTAAACCTATCACATTTTGCGGATTGACTACGCAGGGCCGTATCTAATGAAAGATGGTAAAGTTCGGAATAGAACTTCCATAAAAATTTATCTATGTGTTTACATTTGCCTTACTAAGAAAGCTACGCACATTGAGTTAGTAACTGATCTGTCCACAGGTGCCTTTATGAATTCATTTAAATGTTTTGTGTCGCGCAGAGAATTATGTAAGCATATTGTAATACCGACAATGCTACTAACTTCATTGGTGCAAGTAACGACTTACGTAAAATACAAGAGGTTATAACAAATGTTCCTAATTCTAGTAATTATCAAAATTATTTCCAAGAAAATCAGATACAATGGCACTTTATACCGCCCAGATCGCCACATTTCGGTGGAATGTGAGAATCCGCAGTTAAATCTTTTAAATATCACATCAAAGAGATTCCACATTAAATTTGGACAGTTCTACACGTTATTCGAAGCCATACTTAACTCTCGCCCCCTAATACCCTTATCCAATGACCCTTGTGACTTACACTCCCTCACACCAGGGCACTTCCTAATCGAATCCGTACTACATGAAGCAGTTTTTAACATCGCCCAAATCAATTAAACCATTACAAGCTTACAAGCAGCTACAGCACATGGTTCAAAATTTTTGGTGACAGTGGAGTAAAGATTATTTATCCCAATATTATCCAGTTAGCGTATGTACAACTATTAAGGAATCACCCTGTAAATATATGATTGGATTTAAATTTTCTAGAAATAGCAATAGGCGATATTAAGGCAAAAATAAAAACAATTCGTACTCGCTGTAGTGTAGAATTGGCCAAAGTAAAAAAAGTCAGAAAAAAAGTGGCGCTGGAGTCGATGATATCTACACACCACGACATTTTTTGTTCAAACATGCTGATTAATTTTTGCGCACACTATGTATACAAAGAGAAATCATAAATAATGGCCCCATGTTTATGTTCGGCATATACCGTCTCGTTAAATAAACACTGATGAAATAATGCATGTGCTTCATGATCAAGTCCAAACAAGTAGTAGAAGTGTAAAAGAGAATGGAGCTGTCTGTTTACACACTAGATGTGATTTATATTTACTACACCTATAACCAAATAATTGTGATAAATTTTGTTGTGTTAACACAAATTAATGTAAGAAAATGTTTTAATCTCTTTAGCGATTTATATGTAAGGTAACACAAATAATACGTTGACACTTCCGATCATCAATACACAAACTGTGTTTACATGTTGAAAGAACATCAATAACAATAAGAGTTTTGACTATATATTCTCTGTACAATACTTAATGAGAGGCTGGTGGCAACTGCCTTACTTCTGCGTTTTTCATACTGCTGGAGCTTTCGTAACCCAATACTATAAACTATTTTGTCTATCAATACATTTATACGACCGAATAGCTTTGATGACCTCATGCCAATTCCTTGGTCAGCAGAATCCCTTACATATATTATAATATTAATTTTCTAGATGGATCCAAATGGATTCAACAAAGCTGAACAAAGTCTAACCTATAGAAAACAAACAAGTGGTTAAGTTCCGTAAGTTACCTGTTAACGTACCACTATCTATGTATATATACGACAACTAGGTTTGAAAAAATAGCATTAGTGAAATTAAAGAATAGGTAAGGTATTTTTATCGGAAAAACTAGTATCTATCTATAATAAAGGAAAATTTACATGATTTTGATGATTGCCAATACAGCATAATATACCAGGGTCCAAAAGATGTCAACAAGGCACAATTCGTCAAAGATGAGTAATTTTTTAATTGGACCCCATTCTGCAATAAGGAACCAACCGACATTTCAAATAAAAACGAGCTATTTAAATATTGGTTCCCTAAATTTCATACTTTACAGTTTTGCAAAATAGAATCACACATAAACGACTAGTTTCGCCATCTATTGTCTACTAGTACCAACTAAAAATTGTGAAAACCTAAATAAGTGTTTTGCATTAAGACACCAAGGCTCTTTGGATCCCTGTTGCAAAACTTATATTTCATTTAGTGTAAGACATATATATTATTGACCATTAATTATTTTATTTATGAGAAAACATTTCTAAGAAATGCGAACCAAAACATGTACAGCTAATAACTGAAAAGCAAACGTTTATTTTTCTAACGATAGAGTTGAGTTATTTTATTTTGGCTATTGATGACTTGTCAGAACCGCTTACAATATATTCTTTTATGCATTATGGAAGTTGCGTTTCCTTTTCTTTATTCATTATTAGTCTGTTCTGGTGTAGACATTAGCTGTGCTGTGTTGTGGTTGTGCTTTGCAGTAATTGTCAGGTGAGTTTACCTCACGGGGTGACCAATTTTACCTGTTTTATTGTTTCTATTTCTGTATCAGAATTATACCTAAGATCTATTAATTTATTTATTCTTACTATGAATGTGAGATAATGTTATCCGAGTACGTCGCGAGTTGACCCTTCGTACTCTTGCTAGTTATACAGGGTGGGTACTATGCGCGTTGACCCTTAGTACTTTAGTGAATGCATGCTGTTACACTGTTTACCATGGTAGATACTCTAATCTAGCTTACTGTCCTTCCGGAGAGGTATTTCGCGAGTTGGCCCCTAATACCGATGACCCAGAAGAGTTTCATTGTTTACAGAATCAGTTTCTTTTGATCACATAAATGGTTATAGTACCATTTAGTCTATTTCTACTGTTGTTTTGGTGAATTGGTTACTCAGATATTTTTCTTTATTCATTTCAGATGTGTATGCCTTGAACGACCACCTGTCAGTTACCTAATACCTGTTACATTTTCCTTACATAATGTAAGTTTATTACAATAAATGTTTTTAATTTAGTATTGATTTTAATAAATCAGAGATCATCTTATTTTAATTAATTACTTGATTACTTGGGCTGGCTAAATTTATTTATGTTTCTTTTAAACTTTATAAAAATTCGGCAAACAAACAATTCGCTCACAACATAACCTAACATTAGTAGCATTGAGAGGGACCCAAAGGTTGGTTGGTTGTGTTTTGCGAAATTAATGACTTATGTGCAAGTGCTGATTTGCTTTTCTGTCAGTTAGTGTTTTATCTATACATAATATAACATAAATAACTCAATAATAATAATCATGGCTAGTAGAGGAAAATTATTAGTGGCAATGGTGTTAAATCCTCCAAACTCATCGGTTATATCAGAGGTATGTGTATACAGCATTAATAATTACTATTTTTAATTAAATTCTGGAGCTTGGTAGAAAAAGGGCAGATGTCCAAAAATTACATTTAATAGCCAATGTGTCTCCTGGACTATCCATGTTACATATTTGCATCACAAAAATGGCCAATGTCAACAAGTATTATAAGCCTTAATTATTTAAATTTTAAAATGGCCTAAGTCCATCTTAGTTTAATAGAAAAAGGGCCAATGTATGGACTTTGGTCCTTGAAATACTTTTAAAACGTTTGACAAACGACCAACGTCCACTGCAATAGACATTGTCCGTTTTACTAGTGTTACTTGTGGACGTTGGCCGCAGCGCGCGTCTTACTAAATGCATTTTAATATTTATAACCTAAAATTTTAGTTGATATTTACAAGATAAACAGTGTGTGTTGTGTAAAGGAATAAAAATAAGTAAAAGAACATTCCCAGCTAACAGAGGTACGACATATTGACGTCAAAATCTGGTGATAACTCGTCGATATACGTCAGTAGACCAAAAATTGACGAGATAATAACGTCTGATAAATGACGTCAAATATACGGCTTTATAAACACGTCATACTGTCGTCTTCATATAGTCATTTCTCAACACGGTTAGAATGTTGACACAATAATGACGTCTGATAAATGACGTCAAATTTACGACTTTATATACACGTCAAATACTCGTCTTCATATGGTCATTTGTATTGATCAACAGTTTTTATTATTAATAAGAATGTTTTCATTGTTTTCTGTATGATAACGATAATTTATTTACTCAAGACTTTATGCCAATCTGATTAGCTATTTTTGTTACAATTTTTGTTGTAATTTGCAAGGCAGTCAAAGGCACATCACATTCCACAATTATATGTAACACTGGTTTGGAGTATTTTGTTTCGTGATTAATAATTACTTATTTAGGTTTATTTACTAAATTAGAAAAATAATATTTCTATTTTCTTTGGTGCTTTCTCAGAAAACAGTTTTTAACTTAGCTGGTTTAGCACAAATACAAATATTTAAGTGCTGGTATTGGGTAATGCTGTGATGTTGGTACCTCTTTTTTGTTTATTTTTGTCGTGGAGCAGCACAGACTGAGACCACTTTTACATTATTACTCAAAAACGCAACATTTTGGCTTTCTCAATGCTGATTGGTTAATTTCCGGTGCCTCTTAGAATACTAACCAATCACCGTTGAGAACGCTAAGAAAGTGGCGTTTTGCGTTTTCATGTAAAGTAATGTGAAAGGGGTCTCTGCTCTGACTGTCAGTTGTCAAAAGAAGTCATTATTCGTTATTCTCATTTCCCTCCATTATGTTTCCCTCGGTTTCCCTCTCGCCAGGCAGGTGAATGTGGGTGAAAACAACATTGAAGGACGGTAAGTTTTACTCTATTTTACAATCAATTAAACTTGTAAGTACTTTTAATACGTAAAAATCTCCGTATAAAATGCTTTGTTAAAGAGGGAGAAGTAGAAATTCAACAGCACATTGGAATGCAAATGGCTGAATCCACAGTTTGATATCAAACAACTGTACTGTATTGTTTAATTAATTAGGGACATCGTGGAAGGGTTTATGTTAATATCTATAAAAAATCTTATACTTAAGTACATACAGGTTATAAGTAAATTATTTTTCTCTTGAAAACCATATTTGACCGTTAAAACTTTTTTGTTGTTTATTTTCTACATACTTAGGTATTCGAAAATAGGTGGTTGGCAGAATCAGAAAGACTTGGGCTTTATCTTAAAATAAGTACTTAAAAACCATAACAATATAAGCTCTGTTGAAGCAAAAATTTCTGGACTGGTTTCGAACTATCAAATTTGTTTGACAAGGTAAATCTTGCTTTTATGCTCGGTGAAGACATAGTAGCAACTTAGACGGCCGAATAAATTTGAAGTTTGAAACAATCTACAACTCGCTGCTTGAACAAACCTAATAAGATTTTGTCTTATTTGTAGTTTATATGACATATAAAAATAAATTGTTGATAAAGGCTACAATTACATAGAGACGACATCGGTACCAGTGGAAAAATGTCATACTTGGGCGTGGAATTCTCAGAAAACGGCTCTATAGGCCTGATTCACTCTTCTTGGCTCACCCCTTTGAAACGGGAGGTTTTTTGGCCACCTTATAAAACATCAAATTTGTTTAATAAGGCACTTGTAGTTCCGGAGGAACCAAATCAAAACAGCTGGAACATTTACCCTATAAAACGCATCTTTTTTGAGAGTGGTGTGTAAAATTTTGTGTTATACAAGTTTCATTCTTTTTAACTATTATCAGTACTACTTAATTATTCTTTTGTCAGTTTGATCAGATATTTTCTTCAACACATATTTTTTTATTCTCTGCATCGTATAGCCGAATTATTTATAAATTTTAATTTTAATAGATGAGTTTGAGAAAGCTAAGAAAAAATTAAAAAGATGTGAAGAGACATCGGACATTCAATCGTCGGAATCGGATTTTGGATTTGGAAAGAGAACGAAGATAGTAACAAAATTAATATCTGAATCAAGTAGTGACGAAGAACCTATAAGAAATAAATTGCCGAGACGACCTAATGTTTCCAGGAAATTATTCAAAAATCGAGCTACACCAACCAGTAGTAAAAGTACCTCTGAAGAAAACCGGATATATTCAACAGAAATTGTAAGAGAAAATTCTGCTTTAACTCCAATACGAGAAGATTCGCCTCGTGTGCAACACGGTGACATCAATGTATCTGCTAACAGTATGTTTCGTCATATATTACATATGTCTATTCCGTCATAAGGTTAATTTTATAATAGCTAATAAATCTCAAAATGATAGTGGGTAGAGGTTTGCATTCACATAGCTATTCTAAAATTTACCTTATAGTTGTTACTTTTTACAAAATTGTTCCTAATTTTTAGATTTGGACAAGATTTTTCAAGAAATAAGAAAACTTAGAGAAGAGTTAAAAGAAATTAAAGGGCTACTTAAATTATCACGGAACTCGTCGGTTGGTATTTCTAATTTGCCTGATGACATTCCTGTAGAATTTCCATTAAAAATCATTTCAAACTTACAGACATTAGAGGAATATCTCAGTGCAGAGGAGAAGCTTAATGGCGTGGTAAGTTTAGATTATATCCTACTTCTGTTTTTATAAGACATTGTGCAGTGTTCACATTATACAGGGTTTTACACATTGTTGTATATCCCACGTGTGAGAATCTAAACATTTTCATAGTTTACTTAAGTATGCCTGACATTTGTTCATGTGTTCTTATCTGCATTATACATAAATATCTTATTTAAATACTGTATTTTAGGCTTCCTATTTGTCTTCATTAGGTGGTAATGGAACAACTGCACAAGTCAATAGAATACTTAGATTTGTTATGACAGATGAATTAGCTACTCAATATAATTTTGCTGGACAAAGAAATAACAAACAACCATTTGGAAATACGAAATTAAATTCCGTAATCATTCGTAAGTAAATAATTTCTTATTTTCATTATAAGTTATTACATAGAGCTTATAGGTACTGTCATACCTAAAGACCCGTATTTATAAACGTTTCTCTAGGCTCTACTTAATCATCCCGAATATGTATACCATTCATTAAATACGTAACATCTACATTTAAATCTTGACTGTCATTTAAAATGATCGAAAATAACGTGTGACGTAATAACATGAACGCTGTGATAACAGAATGCGATACATACTTGGGAGGAATTTCAAGCATGGCAAATGCCATTATTTTAAATAGAAAATGTCATTGAATTTATTTACTTTGTTGTAGGTGCTATACAGATTAAATCTCCTGCTATAACTCAAGTTCAAATTCAAAATGCCGTAAAGATTTGGTTGAAACATGCAAAACAAAGGATGGAGAAAAAGCTACGACCTACAGCTACTAATAATGATTAGTATCTTCTTTTACATTAGGGTTAAGTATTTAGTATTTGTAACTTTTCATTTTTTAAAATGTCAAAACGCAAATTAAAGGAATTTGTGGGTCCGAGGCAAAGATCTAGGCGAGCTTTACAAGCTACAAAAAAATTCGCCAGAAGTGCTACTTCTGGTAGCAGTAGTGCCAATAATAATAATTTCATTGACAGTGGTCATGTTGAAGATTTAATAATAAATTCCAATTTAAAAAATCCATGTTTGTGGAACGATGATCATTTTAGCAGTATTTCAAGTGATGAGTCATCTTCTATAAAATCTACATCACCGCCAATTTGTGACGAGAATGAGTCATCTGAAAATAAAAAAGATCTGTCTAAACAATTGGCTGAATGGGCCACTGTAAAACATAAAATCACACATTCTGCTTTAACAGATCTACTTCATATACTTTCCCCATACCACCCTGAACTTCCTTTAGACAGCCGTACTTTACTGATGACTCCCAATTCTACTCGTATAAGTGATTTAGAAACCGGACAATTCATTTACTTTGGAATTAAAAATGCACTTTCTAATCTTTTAAATCAAGTCTCTGTTCATGAAATACAACTTAGCTTTAACGTTGATGGTATCCCCCTTTTCAAGAGTTCAAAATTACAACTTTGGCCAATTTTGGGGTTGATTAAAAATATTTCTAACAGTAAACCTTTTACAATTTCAATTTTTTGTGGTAAAAGTAAGCCAAAACCGTTGAACATATATTTAAAACCGTTTATAGACGAATTGAATTCTCTACTACAAAATGGTTTTTCCGATGAATCAAAAAAATATATAGTAAAAGTGCACTCTTTCGTTTGTGACGCTCCAGCACGAGCTTTTTTAAAATGTACTAAATCCCACACAGGATATTCTTCTTGTGATAAATGTACAGTTCATGGACAATACTATAAAAATAAAGTTGTTTTAGATAGTTTAGTATGTCAAAAACGGACAGATAAATCTTTTCGAGACCAGCTTGATGAAGATCATCACATTTCTGAAACTCCTCTAATTGAATTACCAATCGATTTAATTAAGAGTTTTCCAACTGATTACATGCATAATATTTGCTTAGGCATTACCAAAAAACTTCTTAATACTTGGATTGGAGGTCCTTTAAAAGTTAGACTGCCACATCAAAAAATTAAAATAATTTCTCAGCATATGCTCGATTTAAAAAAATATATTCCCCTAGAGTTTAATAGAAAGCCTCGTTCTTTAGAAGAACTGCCTTATTGGAAAGCAACTGAATACAGAACTTTTTTAGTGTACCTAGGTCCCTTGGTTTTAAAAGACGTTTTAGACATTGCGGTTTATGAAAATTTCCTTGCATTTCACTTTTCTATCTCGATATTATTATCAGAAAAACATATTAAAAAATTTGGAATTTTAGCTGTAAGAAACATTATAAATGTTTTCATTGAACATTTAAAGACTTTATACGGTTTAGAATTTATGATATATAATGTTCATTTACTGTCACATATTTGCGATGATGTAGATTTCTTTGGTGCGCTGGATAATTTTTCTGCTTTTCCATTTGAAAATTATTTGGGCCAGATAAAATTGTTAGTAAAGTCACCAACAAACCCATTACAACAAATTCATCGTCGTCTCGTTGAAAGAGGTTTAATAATTTCAAACAATTATCAATTTAATGGTGTCAAGTTGACTTTGGAACACTCCGCAGGGCCATTAATTATTTGTAACCAGAATGTTAAATGGCAAAAACAGTTCAGTAAAATTCATTTGAAGGATACAACCTTTTCAGTAGTAAGTCACTCTAAAGCCGACAGTTATTGTTTAACCTCTGCGGGAAATAAAATTATTGAAATACATAATATTTTAGTAACCACTGACAATGAGATTTTTCTTATTGGCAAGGAATTTCTTTCAAATTCAAATTTATATGTATACCCATATCCATCTAGTGAATTGAACATATTTGTTGTTAAGGACCTGTCTGAACTTAAAGCATGGCCAATTACTGAAATTTGTGGCAAATGTATTGTGTTGCCTTTTAAAAAGGAATGCTGTGTAGCTATGCCTATTATACATTGTTTAACTTAATGTTGTACAGGGCCATTCATGGTGACTGCCTATTAGATGTATCTCCAGAACTAATAGCAACTTCAATTTGAAATTTTGGTGAACGTCATTTTTGAATATGAACTAAAATATTTTCTAGTTATAATGGAAGTAGCTGCCAGCGTTCTTATTTTAAATGTATATTTTTCATTTTTATAAAGAGAATCAAGTCCTAAGTTAAAAACATGTAGCATGGTAGAAATATTATAAAGCTTGTGCTATATTGTTCAATTAAAGTAAATTCAATAACATAGAGTTCAATAGTGTTCAATTTTTAGTGACATATTTTAGAAACTTCAAACTGCAAAAGACTTTTGTGTTTTAAATTGAAAATTCAATTTTAATGCATGTACATTTAATGTAACCATAACCAATGTGTGCATTAAAATTGAATTTTCCGGAAGTTTTTCCACTTTCTGTAAAACTGCGCTGATGGCACATACACATACATTGTATATTAATGTTTCATTCAATAGAACATTACAAAAGTACTAGTATTTTTATTTATCCTACAGTGAGGGGGAGGGGGAGTGGAAGGGGCATGGTATGCTTTAAACGTTAATATCACGTCACATTTGATCTGGTTTAACACGTTAATTTCACGTCATATTGTCTCATTTGATTTGGTTTAAAACGTTAATATCACGTCACAATATGACGTGATAATAACGATTAATGCATGACGTCATCGGTCCGAGACTTTAGGAGGTCAATTTCACGTCTGAATTATGTCATTAAATACGTCTTTCTAGTCATTTAGGAACAATTATTTAACGTCATTTTCACGTGGCTTTGCTTCCTGGGTTAGATATATTGAGAAAATGTGAAGAGATGCGACACAAAGGTGACAATTGAGCTGGTAAATAAAATGTTTTGATTTATATTTATATTTCAAATTTTAGATAATATAAACGATATTTCTCCAGCATTAAGTCGCGTGAAGCTTCCGAACAATGTGGTGGTAGCTCCTGGGAATTTCGAAACTCTTTTTCTGTTAAATTACGACTTAAATACGCTAGAGGCATTAACTCCAGTTAAATATGTGAGTACAATTTGCCTTTGGATTCTTTTATAGGTATATATTTTTTAAAACTTATTATTTGTCTTTTTTACATAGGTATCAGAGATTCCATTGGAAAATGAAAGTTCATGTTATAAGGTGTTAACACCTCTAAAACAAGTTTTGGTGGAAAATCAACACGTAATTGTCTAGATCATTACTGTTTCTAGCGAATAACGATAAAAATGCTTGTCGAAAATGTTTTCTTACTCAGTTAAAAAGGCATAAACAGGTTATTAATATTTAAAATATAATAAATGCTTAAACATATGTGTACATATGTGTATAATAAATTTAAACGTACTAATAAAACGTTCCTTTTTAGATTATCCAGTTTGAAAATAAAGACGAAAATATAGAAAACGTCTCTCAAAATGAAAGTATACAAAATAACCTTATAAAAATAACCTCAAATCCAAGTCAACAGCCCAATTTAGAAAACACGACTAATATCCCAAATCGTAAACTAGGCAGTCGGCAAAAGAAACCCGAAGAAGAAAGAAAAAGAAAGCGTATAAGGAATGACAAGGTTTGGAAGGAAAATGTCAGAGGAGAACAGAAAGAGAAAGGACAAGAATATGTGTCAAAGAAGGGAATCGTTAAAAAAAGGAAAGAAATAAAGGGACCCTGCAAATGCCGATTAAAATGCTATGAAAATATCAATGGACAAAGGAAAAGGAAAAAAATATTTGAAGATTTTTATAAATTGTCAAGAGATGGTCAAGATCAGTACAATGCAGAAACAATGAAAGAGAACAAAAAGAATAGAGAAAGAATTCGAGTATCAACAAAACAAAATTCTCATGAAAGTCGAAGGCAATATACAAAGAGGTACCGTCAAACGGTGTGATGCGGATCAGATGGGGCGAATGGAATCATGGGTACCTACATTTTTTTAAATATTCCCGCATATCGCCCATTTACCATGCTAGATCGAATACAAGTATTAATCATCGATAAGTGAGACGTCTAGCGCGCCGTATGAGGTGTTTACTGCTATTCAGGGTAAGTAAGGGCCATGTAAAAAAATAACCAATGTTATGTGTAAAATATCAGTATTTTACAGAGTCTGTAAACAAACTATTGTCCACAAAATGTGAATACAATTACGTTAATGTAATGATCTCATATTTGCAAAGTGGTATTTCAACAACAAACTGGCACTTGTCTCATTTTAAAAGGAAACATAATTATTTTTAAAATAATTATTTTATAAAATAACTACATTCTGAGGGGCGGAGGGGATCAAAGTTATTTTTATCCCATACTGAATAATTATCATTACGTTAATGTAATGATCTCATATTTGCAAAGTGGTATTTCAACAACAAACTGGCACTTGTCTCATTTTAATAGGAAACTTAATTGTTTTTAAAATAATTATTTTATGAAATAACTACATTCTGAGGGGCGGAGGGGATCAAAGTTACTTTTATCCCATACTGAAAAATACATAGCCGTGCTGTGAAATATATGTAAAATAATGAATAATAAAAAATGTATACAATATTTTAATAGTAACACTAATAACAAAAAGATTTTAATTACTTCAGATACAATGCCGCGAAAAGTTAGGCTTTAGTGCTAATAGAACGTATAATCCTCGAAAGAGCATTGGCGGCGGTTCGTAGTAGGCTATTGACAATGGGACAAGCATCCGAAGAGTTTGCAGTTCCGTACACTACGATAAATAGAAAATTTTATGGGCCACAAACTCTCAGATATGTGGGACAACCAGCTTTGACTAATGAAGAGAAGAAGTTAGTTGATGTGCTACTCTTATGTGCTGAATGGGGATTTCCCCAGTCAACTAAGAAGAGGCAGATTTATGTACATATATTTAGAAATATTTCCGACTTTATAATAATAGACTGATTTTACTGTAACTTTTTTACCTGCTAAAAAGAATGTGATATTTTAGTTTCTTTTTTAATTTTTCGTTGATTCACTTTATGTTATTTTAAGCGGATATTAGGCGAAAACTATACCCGATCCTGTTCACCCCCACTTACGGGGTGGAGCGGATCAACATTTGACAAAAAAATCTTAAAAAGTTGAGGGGCAACAGCTTTCCAAATTGATGCATTGTTTTTTTTCCGGATATTTTACCGACGAGGAAAAACTTGAAATTTTGATCCCCATCACCCCTTTTGACGGTATGTATCTCAATACATTAGATATAACTCTATAAATTAAGAGTAATTGCTGAGAAAAAGAAAAGTAGTAATTTCAATATTTGTCCTAAAGATAGAAGGGGAAAACATTCAAAACAGAGAAGGGTTGAGGAAGATAAGATAGATGTAATTAGGAAATATATTAATAGTTTTCCCACTTATTCCAGCCATTATTCTCGAGAACGAACCTCGAAAAAATTTCTAAGCCCTGATCTATCTATCGCTTTAATGTACAAACTTTATTGTAAATGCTGTACTAAAAATAATATAAAATGTGAGAAAGAATCACAGTACAGAAACATTTTTAATGAGGAATTTAATTTCTCGTTTCATGCTCCAGCAAATGACACCTGTGCAAAGTGTGACCGTCTGAAATTAAGCTTACAGGCACTTGAAAATAAACAATTGTGTCCTGAAAAAGAAGAAACTAGGACAAAATTAATAAACGAAAAAGAAATACATTTAAATCTGGCTGAGAATACTTATACACAAAAATCATTAGACAAAGAAAAATGTAAGAAAGACCGATTTTTTGTTACTGCTTCTTTCGACTTACAGAAATGCTTGTCGACACCATACCTCCGCAATGGTGTTTCATTTTATAAGAGGCAACTTTGGACATACAATCTAACTGTATATGAAACTAACACTTTGGACAGTGTAGGGATATGTTATTTGTGGAATGAGACGGTTGCTGGTCGTGGTGGTCAGGAGATAGCATCATGTATTAGAAAGTTTATTTTTTCCTTGCCTAAAAAAGTTGAAGTTTTAAACTTGTCTAGTGATTCATGTTCAGGGCAAAACCTAAACATTTTTTATGTGTACCATGCTTTGTTTCATAATGCATCAAATGAAAAAACGGGGTCGGAATTTAAAGGAAATTCACCATAAATCTATGGAACCTGGGCATACTCACATGGAGACCGATACTATTCATGCCGCCATTGAATCCTGCAAGAAAAAAACAACCACAGAAATTGAAGTGCCTCATGACTGGACTAATTTTATAAAATCTGTACGTAGGAATCCCCCTCTTAAAGTTGTTGAAATGCAGCAAAAAGATTTTTTATTAGAATGGCATTAAATGGAATTATGAATTTTGAAGTTATACTAGGATCATATTCGATTCAAAGTAATAAATCATTGCCTGTCAAGGGAATCAGTGCAACACGTTTTAGGGGGTTTTGGAAATTGAATAATTTCTTTATGCATTATGGATTAATAGTTATTGTGAAGATAGTTTAGGCTTTGCAAAATTGTTTATAAACTTTTGGCGGCCATGATACGGGTGGGGCGCCGGCCGGGCCGGGGAAGAGCACGGACAGAGAGAGAGAACGACTAGAGACGAGGTGGTGTTGAGATATCTAATGTTGATCGTTGTTTTTATTCTAAAATCTATTAAAATTATATTTGTGAAAAACTGTGTTTTAACAACTTCAGAAGTGGGATAAAAAGATCCATAAATAATAGAGAAAAATTAGATTTTGTGTAAATAAAGTGTTATGGAACAAAAAGTGCAAAACCGAGAAAATTCGATGCATTTTGATGCAGTAAGTAAAAACAATGCATTTGATTGACTTTCTGTGAGTTACCTGCCTGTCTGGTCTGTAGACTTTCAAATTTTTACCTGGTCACAATATTGCGCAATTGTTTATTGTTTGTTTATTTCTCAATAATAACGTCATGGGTCGAAACAAAAGCCCTGACCGCACCGTAAATAAGAGGCGGAGAAGCTCGAAAAGGCGTCTTAGCGCTAGTCCTTCTCATTATGTTGAATCTATAGAAAAAAGACTTAAATCTCTAGAATCTTTAATACGCAGTACGGGCGGGAATTCTCATGATCTCGCGGAGACGCTGGTGTCGTCGCATGGACGAAGTAATACGCCACCACGTCATTCTCGTCATGTGTCGCCGCCAGAGTCGAGATCACCCAAACAAACTGAAAGTGCTGAACAATCACGTTCGATGCCCAAACAATTAGCATCAGAACCTAGGTCAATTTCTCAATATATTGGTCGCAATGAATTAATACCAGAATTTGATGCGTCTACAAATTCTGTTACAATACTGTTACAACATTGGCTGAACAAAATTGAATCGGTCGCTAATTTATATTGTTGGGATGACAAGACTAAAATATTGATTAGTAGATTAGTAGTGATGATTAGTAAGTTGACGGGAAATGCAAAAGCATGGTATGAGTGTCAAAGTAATTTTGAGAATACCTGGCAACAATGGAAAGAAAAATTAATTTC